CCTTCCATAGAGTGATGATCACTGCGTAATATTGTTTTAAATATTATGAGCAACAACAAGGTGAGAACACTGTTTACCTGTTTTAATGTGAAGGGGAGGCAGGACGTTCACGTAGTGAGGGGGCAGAATGCAGAGCCGATGGTTGGTGAAATAGGCGGCCATGAACCGGGCCATGGACTGGACGACCCTCACTGCGGCCTCGGGGTGGGCAGGCCCAGGCGGTCCCCACACGGGAGCTAAGGGACACAGCAAACGAGTGGAGGAGGTTCTGGTCAGACCATCACGAAGTGGTAACATCTAAGTTCCCAGCATTATCCAGGAGGGAACTCATAAGTAGTTCTGTTTAGATGAGCACCCAAGGCCGTACAAGTAAATTTATGATAGGCCTCTAGACTTCCTTTTTTATGATAGGCCTCTAGAGCCCATACACTTAGGAACTTGTGTGACTTTAAGTTAATAGTTTTATTTAAAAACGTGGAGGATCCAAGCAAAGCAATCTAGCCACAATGCACATGCCAGTCCAGAATTAACCCTAACCGGGCAGAACCACCACCGTTTGTCATAAGCAATTTCCTAGCTAAACCTATAAGTGCACGTTAACACGAAAAAAGATACCGATCTTTGAAAAACGTACCCGAACTATCTTCATTTTCCCTTACAGGTAGGTGGGACCATCTCAGCAGTTCTCTCACTAGCTGATCGCACAATCCTTGGGCATCGTTTAAATTATAGCTATACAGGTGGCAGTACAAAAGGGACAGGTAATAGCGCATCTGAAGAAAGCAGGTCCTTCTTCCTCCTTAAAGCAGAGAGAATTAAGCTTCCGTTAAAAACGTTAGCAAGGCCAGGTTCTTGGCCTGGGTGCTGGGCAGACACTCTGGGGGTGTTCCGTTTATGAAACCCATGAAGCTGTATACTCTCGTTATGTGAACCTTTCTGTATTTGTTTTATCCTACATAATAAAAGGCTAATATGCAAATTGACTGAATGGTGGAATGACTGGTTGCTATGACACTCACTGACCACCAGGGGGCAGACGCTCAATGCAGGAGCTGCCCTCTGGTCGTCAGTGCATTCTCACAGGGGGAGCGCTGCAGCAGCGATGGCGGGAGCCTCCCCCGCCTCCACAGCATTCAGACATCCCCTGAGGGCTCTCAGACTGCAAGAGGGCGCAGGCTGGGCTGAGGGACCCCCGCCTCCCCAAGTGCACGAATTTCATGCACCGGGCCTCTAGTATTTCAATAAAAGATGCTTTAAATTCTTTAAGAAAACAGGTGAGCAATGCATTGTTCTTTTTCACTCTAAGTTCTGAAGAGGTGTATTTTCTTTCATCAGGCCCAGGATGACTAAAATTTTATCCAAAGAGAGCTGTAATCCTCATTCCCTCAGCACTAAGGTTCACTAACATCTGTCTCAAGCACACATGATCTGAAACAAAGGGAAGAGTGTGAGCCCCTCCCCCCGCCGCCATGACCAAGAAGCCAAACACACATCAAATAGATGGTCAAAGAGGCTCCCCAAAGAAGAAGCCAGTAGGATGGGAGTCCCTGACCACATCTGAGAGTGCTTAGGACTGAGAATGCTGGCTGCCTGTCCCTTGTCCGTTCTGTCTGTCTGCAAGATAAAATCTTACTCCCATGGCCACTGCATGCGCTACGTTCCTTTCCCATCTGTTCTCCACCTACCTCTCACCACCCTACCCCCAATTTACACACACACCTCGTATGATCTGGTCCTGCTAAAACACCTGCAGTTCACCAACGGCCACGGTTCCGCGTGTCCTATTGCTTCTGGAATGCTGTATCCTCTGTTAAACCATTCCCTGTCCTTTAACTGGCCAAATTCTACTCCATTTTAAATGCCAGCCCCCCCGGGGGCTCTCCAGGTTGGGGTGTACTCCAGCCCGGATTGTGGGGCGCACTCTCCTGTGCTTCCCGGCACCCACCACAGGAGGTGAGAAGAGTGCTAGCTGCTCACATCCTCTCTCCTGCAGACGGTGGGAAACTGGAGGGGAAGGTTGTTGACTTCAGTGATTCCCAGGGTCTAACTCGGTACCAGGCACACAGCAGGTTAGGTAGACGACTGAAGGAAATGTAAAAGCCACAGGAGGCTGGCCAAGCTGACCGCGTAGCAGCTGCGTCAGGGCTGGTTCCCAGGTCGCCTGGTGGGAACCTCTGTCTTCTCAGCCACACCCTCAGCCCTAGAGCACATGAGCTACCACCAGCCTCCAGGATCCACCCCCGTACATTCTCATCAGAAACTCCATGGAGCCCACACTCAGCCCAGCAATAAGCCTAACTCACAGGGACTTGTTAAGGGCAGACAGCATGAGCCCCACTCTGTAAGAGGTGATACAGTATTTGACCCAGTTTCTCATTTAGATACTTCCAGGCCCTCTAAATGACAAAATGACACATGATTTTACTTAGGGCCTAAACCTCATTTCCCCCATCAACAGGCAATCACGGGTTCCATCACTAATCCAAAATAGGACAGAAGAAGCCTTATCTGTAGACAACAAAAAATTCTTGGTTCTACAAATTCCAAGACTAAGACTAACTTTAAATAAAACTAATTTTAAGTCAGTATTTCTGACAGTCCAGGTTCCTACAATACGTGTTACTCTATTTGAGCATGAAGAAGTTCTGAGCACTCGCACTTGAAATCATTTTCACGCTCTGGAGTCTGCTAACATCCGTTCCTACCGATCTCATGGCGAATATTATTTTTAATAACCCCCTACCGTTCCCTTGGGTTTCTTGCAGAGCTTTCCTCCACAGCTCAACCGCCTTTTCATAGGATCCGAACAGGAAGCACTCTTCACCTGCAAAGTTTTTAACCAACGGTTAATTGTGGTTAATTATATCACTTCATAAAAATGTACTTCGTTTTAAAACCCAGTGTTTTAGCTCATCCAGAAATTTTTAAAAACAAATAATTGTGACCAGTTAACACAGTCAAAGCCCCGCTAGCTGTTCTTGCTTACTTATGGGGTGAGGAACGGTGTATAAGACACTGACCGCTGATAGGTTTGAGCTCTAAGGTTTGGCTCAGGCAGGCCCCGGCCGCCTGTAGGTTCGCCTGGATGTGACATAACAGGGACCGGACAGCAGCTGCTTCCTGGGCCGCCTTCGCAGGTAACGGTCTGTCACCTTCAGGAACTCTTCGACTTAACTGGCTCTGATACCATAAAGTCTTTTGATACAGGACTCTCCACAGAAACACCAATCTGCACACGAAATTAGATGACCATCAAACCAAATTTCAGACGAGGGGCAAGAATCAGTATAGCCTCCTGATTGGCCTGCATTCTTCACTGATATAATAACACACATACCAACTGATCGAATTTAAATACAGCACAAAGGCCACTGACCAAAAACATGCATAATATAGTTTTAAATCTTCACAAATGCTTTATGTACCTGTGGTCATACCTAAACCAACATCTCTCAACAGTACCCGGTTGCCCAAGAGTCTAATAAAATGTGTGTGTGGAATAGCATCGGGCTTAAGTGCTAAAATACTTTCTGATAAAATCAAATCTATAAGGCTGAGTGCTGACGGAGACCAGGTTTTTTTTAGGAGCGATAAAAATATCCTGGAATTAGTGTTAATAGTTCTATGACCTTGTGACTATTCTAAAAACAAATCACTAAACTTGAAAACGGTGAGATTTATAGTATGGGAACCACAGCTCCATTTTTTAAAAAGGAAAACAATCTAAACTGCGGATGGTACCCTAACTTTACAGGAGTCATACCTGCGTCCTGGCTGCCGAACGAGGTTTACTACCGGAGGGCGAGTCTTGAAAGACGCGTTCCAAGGCCAGGCGTCCCGGGAAGCACTATCTTGAAATGTTTGAAACACGGGAACCACCAGGGAGTCCTGACTGGCTGTTCTACTCCCATCAGCTGTCGCCGAGACTTCCGGCGCATGTGCCCTTGACCGGACCCTGCAGTCTGCAGGCTGACACTCTATCCACTGAGTCAAATTGGCTAGGGCACCAGGAAGTTTTTGATTTCTTTCTTGATCTCACTGATAAACCCATTCATTGTTTTAATCCCGCGGGGCCCCGCGCTGGGCCGACAAGCACTGGTGGAAGAGTTGGAAGACACAGAGCACCCACGCGTCACGCCTGGGTCTCTTGCTTAAGGAAAGATCGAGTGTTGGGAAAGGACATTTGATAAACTGAAGAACGTAGAAAAAATAAGTAATGCAAACTACTGTGTAGTTTAGCAGCACGTTTCTTTCCGTCACGTTTTTTGAAACTCCGATAGTCCAGGCCGCGAGGAGGCTTTTCTGGACCGAGTGCAGTTCTGCGATGGTTCCGTCGGTCTCCTCCGCAGGGTCCTTTGCGTGTATTGTGTCGAACATAGACGCAAACTCCAATCTCCCCTCCTTGGCACCACTAAACGATGGGTCATTTTCTTTGTTCCAAAAAGAGAGCAAGTTGTTTGGGAAGTATGTGCTTTCGTTAGTTTCCTCTGCTTCAAAATCCTAAATCACGAGTGAAAAAAATGATACCTAATACCACTCAATACTTTATAAGTAGAATCACATGGTGTTCTCAAATTTCTCTCCCCTTTAACAAGGGAAAAACCAAATACTATTCTTGGACTAAGCCAGCAGTTCTCAACCTGTGGGTCGCGACCCCTTTGGCAGTCGAACGACTCTTTCACAGGGGTCGCCTAAGACCATCCTGCATATCAGATATTTACATTACGATTCATAACAGTAGCAACATGAGAGTTATGAAGTAGCAACGAAAATAATTGTATGGTTGGGCCACAACATGAGGAGCTGTATTTGAAGGGCCAGAAGGTTGAGAACCACTGGACGAAGGTCAACACGTAACTGTTCAAGGGGAATAAAACATGGCCACCGGGTACCTGCCAATCTGTCCTTTCATGCGACTTCATCGTTTCTTCTTCCTGTAAGAATCCGGGGGCGGGAGAAGCCGCCGGCCGCTCGCTTCCTTGGCGTTTTAACAGGCTCGCCCTCAGGGACCCCAGGGATCGCAAGTTCAGCCCTTTGCCTTGTGGCTACAGGAGAAAAGATTTGCAAGAGCAAAACTTTACCCCAATCCCGTTACAAAGCAGCTAGAAATGCTACAGACAACGCCTGCGGGCCGAGGACATTCACATCAGTGCAGGGTTAAGTCTGAAGGAAGAAGTCAGCCCTGCTGCCGATGGCAGAGCACGCTACCTCAGACGGCGCCACGCGGCGGTACGCCTGCTCCAGCCGCTGCGCCGCGTCCAGCAGCAGGGCCCGCAGCAGCGCCGCGGGAGACAGGCTATCGCGGAACCGGAGGGTCGTGACCATGTAGCCGTCAGAAGCGACGAGGTAGGGCAGCCGGGAGTGGGTTTTCACGGAAAACCTCTGTCGCATCGGGTCGCTGGCCGACGCCGACGAGTCTACGGAACGAGTTGAATCTGGAAAGGTGCTCTGTGGTGGTCTAGCAAGCAAACATCACCATTCAAAAATGAGTAAGAGAAAAATCCTCAACAATCGTATTATTCCAAAGAAAAAGCAGAACAGTGATTAAGTTACAGAATGATGAAAACGCAAGCAAATGAAACACAAAAATTGTTCATGTGTAATATCTCTAAGGAAAACATAAGCGGTTACTATAACATACCGTATTTGCCGGCGTATAAGACGACTGGGCGTATAAGACGACCCCCTAACATTTCCACTCAAAATACA